TACGTGCGGTTCGTATGTCTTTTTTTGGGTGAGATGGAAATGAACCAAATAATAGTAGTATTCTTTCGTTCTGAACGAAATGAAAATGTTCAATTAAACTGATTTATTCCTACGTGGTATAGGAAATAACAATGATTTCTGGATTTTTCTATATCGGATCGTTCCTTTCTTTGTCGATTCCCTTTATAAATCAGTTTAAGTGAAAATTTTCAGTTCGTTCAGAACGAAAGAATACTACTTATTACTAATATTCGTCCATAAGAGGTTATGTTTTATGTTCATTTGTAATTCGGTTACCACAGATATAATATAAAATACTACTAATTTTTATCTCGATTATATCGAAAAAGATAATCGAATTAGTTAGTTTTAATTTACTATCGAATTAGTCGAATTATTTAATTCGAATTTTCCCAACACTAACATGTATTTAGATTCCAAATATCTTGAGAACCATTAAGAGACCTTTTTTTACTTAAAAAATGACGAGAATGTATATTTTTTTTACTCAATAGTTTTATACAGGTACGGACGAAAAGTTATTACTCTTCAAAACAGCTAAAACATATTATGTAAGGAGGGCCCCCTACAAGTAGGAGTCATACTAACATCGAAATTGAATTTCTCGTGTCAAAAAACACTCAGCCAACAATTTTCATCTAAATATCGGCGTTAGCTCAGAAATTATTTGGAAAAAATTGAAATAAAAATGATACTTCTACACCCTGTATCTCCTTATTTTGTTGTAGTGGGCCGATTTTGAAGATTTTTTAAGCCCTCTTTTTTTTAATTAAAAATTGCGAGTGCCTATCTGTCTGGTATACGAAAGAAAACAAAATGGTGTTATTTGAGCGAAAGTTTGAAAGACCCTGTGAAATACTTTAAAAAATTGGGGAATTAAAAAATGTCACCAATTTATCACCAAGATACGTCTTTTCTAGAAGTAGAATGTAGAATTTTTAGGAGGGGGGTTAATCACCGCGACCTTACCGATCTATTGTGTGTTCCTCTTTCTTGAAAAACCAGTATCTAAGACGGCACCACAAAGGCCAGCTCTCCATTTTCGACATCAGCTATACGCTATACGAAAGTTTACGGCATGAACGGTTGTCTCGGCGCACTCTGTTATAAGGTGTTTCCGGCGTTTCCCCATTTTTCCCACAGAATATGCAATTTATTTTTTATTAAACCAATGCAATTTTTTTTTATTAAACCAAAAATTCGTAATACAAAACTAAAGGGTCAAAACAAATGACAATGTTACACTGAAAAAAAGGATCTCTCAGTCGAAATGAATATGACTTTGACCCAAAAGATTGGCGCTTTTCAATAGGACCAAGAACGACGTTTCTTTACCCAAAGCATTAACTCTCTTTTCCTAAGCTTTAAAAAATTACTTTAGAGAATAGAAGAATCTATCTGTCCAAAGTATTTCACTCTTGACCCAAAATTAATATGCAAAGAAGTTCTTGCTACAAGAATAATAGTCTCTTTGATTCATGCAAAAATTCTTGATTGAAAAGGGACATTTCTTGATTAAAGAGACACTTTTCTTAAACCAATAGCGAATACCATTGACTCAACTAAAATTATTTTGATCTAAGAGAAGTCTATACATCATATATACAGGCATACAGACATACAGGCATATTACGAGGTATATTATTTTCTGATAAATTTAGGTTTTCCTAGTCTGTAGTAAGTAAAGTGATATTATTTTCTTCGATAGTAGGTAGTTATTTCTGCTTCTTCACTCCTTGGTATTTTTTGGGGTGGTTCATCACTCTACAAATTACAAAAAAATGTTACATCACGATTAATCAAAGTAAAGCAAACAAATTATTAAAATTATAAGCTTTGGTCACATTTTGAATTTTTTAATACGACGACTTGAAATTCTAAAATTTTTGTAATTATTTGCTTAAAAAAATCGATACCTATATTCTTATTCTATCTACACTGATAAAAAAGATAGACTTGAACTAAAGTCGTCATCGTTCTTGAAAAAAAAAATTAGTGGCAAGAGAATTTATTTTAGCGTAAAAGAAAATATTTTGCCTGAAGAAAAACTCTCTTAACTCAAGAAAACTTGATCTCTTGATAAATTCTAAAATTTCTCTTGAATCTATTTTCATTCAACCAAATGCAAGTTACTTTGTTTTAAGATAATAACAAAAATACGCTGGGAAGTACTTCATTCAAGAAACATGGCCATTTGTCCAATAGCTAAATACTCTTTTGATGAAAAATAATAACGACACGGAAAGACGATGACGAAGGACGGTATATACAATCAGTCGGCCGCGGCAGTCCTATCAGTCGCACGTCGCATTTCAAAGGCACATCATAGTAAGCACGGGTTTTGTTGCTTGGAATTTTCCACATCATAATTTGCTTTTTAAACGCATATCGTATAATAAATTAGTGATCGTTATTAACATGCATTTGTCATTTTTTATGGACAAATTTTAGGATATATGGATTCTTCAAAGGAGTTTCTGAAAAAAATGGAAATTAGAGGATTTATTTGCTATATTTGAAGGTAAGAGACATTTATCTAATGCACCTGTTTAGATAATGCATGCGTGTCTATAGATAGAATAAGAATATAGGTATCGATTTTTTTCTGCAAATAATTACAAAAATTTTAGAATTTTAGAAAGTCGTCGTATTAAAAAATTCAAAATGTGACCAAAACTTATAATTTTAATAATTTGTTTGCTTTACTTTGATTAATCGTGATGTAACATTTTTTTTTGTAATTTGTAGAGTGACGAACCACCCCAAAAAATACCAAGGAGTGAAGAAGCAGAAATAACTACTATCGAGGAAAATAATATCATTACTTACTACAGACCAGGAAAACCTAAATTTATCAGAAAATAATATACCTCTTAATATGCCTGTATATGATGTATATACTTCTCTTAGATCAAAATAAATTTTAGTTGAGTCAATAGTATTCGCTATCGGTTTAAGAAAAGTGTCTCTTTAATCAAGAAATGTCCCTTTTCAATCAAGAATTTTTGCATGAATCAAAGAGACTATTGTTCTTGTAGCAAGAACTTCTTTGCATATTCATTTTGGGTCAAGAGTGAAATACTTTGGAAAGATAGATTCTTCTATTCTCTAAAGAATTTTTTAAAGCTTATGAAAAGATAGTTAATGCTTTGGACAAAGAAACGTCGTTCTTGGCCCTTGAAAAGCGCCAATCTTTTGGATCAAAGTCATATTCATTTCGACTGAGAGATCCTTTTTTTCAGTGTATAGTCATCAGGCATGCATTATCTAAACAGGTGCATTAGGTAAATGTCTCTTACCTTCAAATAAAGCAAATAAATGCTCTAATTTCCATTTTTTCAGAAACTCCTTTAAAGAATCCATATATCCTAAAATTTGTCCATAAAAAATGACAAATGCATGTTAATAACGATCACTAATTTGTTATACGTTATGCGTTTAAAAAGCAAATTATGTAAAATTCCATGCAACAAAACCCGTGCGTACCTATGAAATGCGACGTGAGACTGACCGGACTGCCGACTGATTGTATATAGCGTCCTTGGTCATCGTCTTTGCGTGTCGTTATTATTTTTTATAAAAAGAGTATTTAGCTTTTGGAAAAATGGCCATGTTTCTTGAATGAAGTACTTCCTAGCGTATTTTTGTTATTATCTTAAAACAAAGTAACTTGCACTTGGTTGAATGAAAATAGATTCAAGAGAAATTTTCGAATTTTTCAAGAGAACAAGTTTTCTTGAGTTAAGAGAGTTTTTCTTCAGGCAAAATATTTTCTATTACTCTAAAATAAATTCTCTTACCACTAAATTTTTTTTTCAAGAACGATGACGACTTTAGTTCAAGTCTATCCTTTTTATCAATGTAGGAAATAAATAAATAATTGTTGCTGAAACTTAACATTTTTTACAGCAGCGAGCTACCACCTGAAACCCAAGCGCGAAATTTAAATTCCAGTTAGACAGTCCGGCGCCGAATACGTCCATGGTTGGCAACAATGAATTTAAAAACCGCACCCTCAATTACAAAACTAAAAGTGTAATTGATATCAAATATAAAAGAACTTCTTTAAGTTTTTAGTTTAAATTTTTAATGAAAATTTCGAAAACGAGACATTTTATAAAGAGGCTATTTACCGTTTTGGCCACCGTGTAACGGCTTAACGCTAAATTTCTTCTTGTGATGGACGTTAATTGTCGCTTAGAGCTGTTTTCGGTCAAAATAACGGATAGTTATGAACCGTAAACCAAATATTAAAATAAATTAACAGTACGTATGCTTGCGTACGACCGGAGTTCGTACTGCCGTGAAAGAATTGCCCAGTGAGGCCTAAATGGCCTATACGAGTTCTCTAATAAATGATCGTCTATAAAGTGTAGAACTGACGAATTGAATATTAAACGGGCTATACAGGGTGTCCCAGGAATAAGTGCAGATATTTTAAGAGGTGGTTAGATATGGTCAAAAGAAACATCTTTTCTCTCTAATATTTTTAAAATATATTAAAAGTAAACGAGTTATTTAACTTTGAACATTTAAAAAAATAATGGCAACATTTTGAGAACCGCTGGCGATAACCGGGTATTAAGGCTGGTATTTATAGTTGCATCTCGAGACGCCAAGACGGTCTTGGGCTCTCGAGAGCGGAATCCACAGAATACACGAGCAAACGTCATTTTGGAGATTGCGATTTTCATTTTGGATAGTTTATGTGATCTGTGGATAGTTTCTTAACCTAACTTTTTTAGTAAACAAAATAAATCCCTTGTAAATCCGTTTTGTCTGATTAAACAGTTTTGAATTTTGAATATGTTAGAAGAGTTTGAGGATATTTTGGACCATGTGGAAGAAGAAAATCGTCTTCGAGTTCCAAAAGGTATATACGGGATGCAGGAAATCCAATAGAAATGTTTAGCGAGGGGGATTTATGCCAATATAGGTTTAACAAGGCTACAATTACAGAAACTATTTTACCTCTTATAAATTGAAGACTTGCAAAAACCTACCAATCGTGGTTTACCCATTCTCCCCGTTGTTCAATTACTAATTTGTTTACACTTTTATACGACTTGTAATTTTCAGATGGTAAATGGAGACTTGCGTGGTGTTTGCCAACCTACAATAAGCCAGATAATCAAGAATAATGCAATAATGTGGAAGTATTTCAAAATCGCAAAAATTTTTTTTAGTCTAAATGTTCAGGTCCCAAAAGGGAAATTATGGATATTATAGTTGGATATCCAGGGTCAAGTCATGATAGTGTTATATTCAATCGAAGTAATTTAAGAATGCTAATGGAAAGGCGTGATATTCGTGATTTACTTCTTGGAGACAATGCATATAGATATAGGCCAATTCTATTGACTTCTGTTCTACAGCTAGGTAATCAACAAGAAACCAGGTATAACTTTGCCCATAGAAGAAAGCGAAATGTTGAAAGGCTATTTGGGACTTGGTAAAAACGTCTTCCATTTCTCCGAGGTTTACAAAACAACTGTTGCTATTATTTGTGCAACAGCTGTTCTTCATAATATTGGTTTAAGGGAAAATTTAGATAATTTTGAAGATGCTAATTTACACATTCCAATTATAAATAAAAAGGAAGAGGGTTAGATTTTTGAAGAAATCTTATTCAACATTTTGCAAATTAATGTATTTATTGTATTAATATATGTATATCTAGTAATTATGTAATATGTTAAGTAATGTTCCAAGGTAACTAGTACCTATATAATAATTTTATTTACTTTTCTATTAGTGTTAAGTTAGTGTTTATATATTTACATGTAACATATTTTAAGTAATTTCTTATAGTCTATTATTAGTTATCATAAAAATACTGTTTTTCTATACTTAAATAACATATGATTTCTTAGTAGTTTTACGCTCACTATGACCAGACAGTTAAGTGCTTGTTTTAACTGGTCACACAGAATTTTCCCACTAATACATTAAAACTAAAAAAATTGTCTTTTTATTTTCTTCATCATGAATATTTATATAAATATCATATCACATAATATACAATATTGGATGTATACCGTATACCTATAATTTTCAAGATTTTATTCCTTGGTGTAAATTCTGTATTCTTATTGAGTTGACCACTCTATATAAAGTTGATACTCCATGTTTTATAGTTTTATTTAGAATAATATTTCACAATACACATTCTATGATTATTGCGTTTTTACTGCTTCCTTATTTCTTCTCGTCTAGATGACATTCTTCTCTATTCTTTTTTTTCTAGTCTGCTACGTAAATCAGTGACTGACAATTTTTGCCTTTACTTATAAATTTAATTTATTCTCTGACACTCGTCCAACCTGACTATGTCTTAGTCTCCAAGACTTAATTAACAAAACTAACTTAAAAATTACCTACAACAATAAAAAAAATATTCATTCTAAATTTATGATATTTAAAGATTTTAAAAATTTATGAAACTATTCAAAACTAAATAAACCAAAAGTAGTATTCATTAAACATTAAACATATTCTTCTAAATACTTCTGTTTATGTGTTTTTCTGTGTCATGGGGTAGAACTTGTGTCACTGTAAATAGTCCCTTATATTTAGTAGCACTTTTCATATAGACCATGTCTCCTATCTTTGTGATACCTTTAAATCTATATGTTTATCATAATTTTTTTATACTTCCTTTGTTCCATTTCTATATGTTCTTTGACCTCTTTTCTCAATTTTTCAGGTAATTGAATACTTTTCATTCTCTACCGTCAATAATCTCACTTATCCATCTTCAATCTTCGGAATATATCCATATAATAATTCAGGAGTTTTTTTCGCCAGTGGATTTATTCACAGATGTATTTATAGCTCTTTCTATATTCTTAATATATGTATCCCATTTGTTGTTATCATCTGCACAAGCTGAAGGCAGTATCATTGGAATAATAATGCTGTTCAACCATTTATGGTTGCATCATACAAATTCACCCAAATGTTCTGCTATTAAAATGGACACCCTCTTGATAATCTGGCTTATTGTAGGTTGGCTAATACCAAGCATGTCTCCATTTAATATCTGAAAACTACAAGTCGTATAAAACCGTAAACAAATTAGTAATTGAATAACGGGGAGAATGGGTAAACCACGATTGGTAGGTTTTTGCAAGTCTTCAATTTATAAGAGGTAAAATAGTTTCTGTAATTGTAGCCTTGTTAAACCTATATCGGCATAAATCCCCCCTCGCTAAACATTTCTATTGGATTTCCTGCATCCCGTAATATCTTTTTGGAACTCGAAGCCGATTTTCTTCTTCCACATGGTCCAAAATATCCTCAAACTCTTCTAACATATTCAAAACTGTTTAATCAGACAAAACGGATTTACAAGGGATTTATTTTGTTTACTAAAAAAGTTAGGTTAAGAAAGAGGTGGTTAGATATGGTCAAAAGAAACATCTTTTTCTCTCTATTATTTTTAAAATAAATTAAAAGTAAACGAGTTATTTAACTTTGAACATTTAAAAAATAATGGCAACATTTTGAGAACCGCTGGCTATAAATACGGGCCTAAGAGTTTTCACGAGGTTTTTCAGCTTATTCGACGTCCTGTGTTGCCAAATAGTCAAAAGAAGTATTCTGAAATCCCTGGCACCTGGAATGAGTTGTTGTGTGTCGTTCGTATACGGTTTATTTGTCTGATTTTATCGATGTTCCGAATGGTGAATTCGGATAAACATGTTGGTATTTTCTTTTATGTGATATCAGTATGAATAATGAATAATATGGTGAATTATTTTATTAAATTTAGTTCTAAATAAAGTTATTTTTCGGTATAACCATGATTTTCGTAAATCTCATGCATAAGAATAATTTTACCCAGCTTGGTTCTCATTGAAAGGGTTAAGTACTAACAAATTTAGGTAGGGACAAACAAAATATTTAAAAGAATGTTTTTTTTTATTGAAACTTCTTCGTACTATAGCAATGTTAAGAGTTATATTTTAAGAGTTAAAAATAAATATAAAAATGTGATATGCCTAAAAATAATTAATGTGGTTTGTCTCTAGAATTGTAAAATATACACTGATATGATTAGAATTAATACTCGTAATTTTTTGTGTACAAATTTAAAATTACAGTGAATACAAATAACAAGTATGTTAAATATGGATGTAGGGGGTGGCAACACTGCAAGGTTACGATACACTGTAAAGAAATCTCAAAGGAATAAACACAAGTGGCACTAAATTTTTTTTTAAATTTCCAGGAAAATGTCAAGAAAAATAGACTTTTTTTGAAAAAAAAACTCCATAGGCGTCTTTTTTGGACTAAAATCGAGGGGTGTCTCACTATTGGAATTACCTGTACATTTTCTTGGCAGTCGCTGGCAGTCATTGGCAGTCTTACGGCAGTCGCCTATAATAATTACATGGCAGTCATAGGCAGTCTCAGAACACTCCACTAACTGGACCAGAACCGTTCTGCTTTCCAAGTGGTAACCAACTCAAGGCGGAACTCAAGAACTTGGAAGATTCCATCCGCAACCTGGAATGGAAATCTTGCAACGGTCTAAGACACTCGAAGAAGTTTCTGAGGGCTTATGATCAAGAAAAATCACAGATCTTCCTGGGTTTAAGTAAGAACAATCTTCGGATTGTCACGGGGTTTTTAACAGGACACTGTCTCCTCAATGAATACCTCAGTAGATTGAAACTAAGAAGAAACGGCGAATGCAGATTCTGTGGGGAAGATGGGGAAACACCAGTACACCTCATCACTGAGTGCGCCGAGACGACAACCATTCGTGCCATGAATTTTGGTACGATTGATATTGGAGATGGAGAACTACCCTCTATAAAACCGTCCCAGATACTGGCTTTTGTCAAAGCCCTGGGACTGTATGATGAGTTGTGACTCAAGAAAGGGGGACACAATGGATCTGTAAGGTCGCAGTGATTAACCCCCCTCCCACTCATTCTAATTCTAATTCTAATTCTAGGCAGTCTTCTTCGCAGTCATTTGCAGTCGCTTGGTATTAAAACGATATGTTGGCAGTACATGTACATTTTTTACCCAAGTGAGACACCCCTCGACTAAAATATACTGCCATTTAAAAATCTGCTTTTATTTCTGGGACACCCTGTATATAGCGGCTATATGACATTCTTAAATAATATAATTCAATAATTAAAGTATTCTTAAAGTTAATCCTCAATTGCTAGAAGCATAAATTAGAGGAGATATACAGGGTGAATCAAGCTTAACTTGAGTTATAAATCCTCCCCTTTCTTTAGTTATAACTAATCATACAGTCTCAGGGCTTTGACGAAAATCAGTATTTGAGACGGTTTTACAGACGATAGTTCTCCATCTCCGATATCTATCGTACCAATGTTTATGACACGAATGGCATTTTCCCCACAGAATCTGCATTCGCTATGTTCATTGGCAAGGAGACAGTGTCCTGTTAGAAACCCTGTGACAATCCGAAGATTGTTCTTAGTTAAATCAAGGAAAATCTTTGATTTTTCTCCATCGTTAGTCCTGAGAAACTTCTTCGAGTGGTCTTCCAGGTTTTTGAGTTCTTTAAGTTTCCACTTGCAAAGCAGAACCGTTCCGGTCCAGTTAGTGGTGTGTTCGCTCCTTAGGTACATCGTTTGCATTTTCATTACCTTGGTGTGCTGTCACCCAGAGTAAGAGGACTTGCCTAATTTGTTCAGTTTCTCTTTGATCAACATCGAATTGAAGGTTACCGAGTTGATCGCTCTTAAGGTTACTTGACTGTTGGATGGATAACATGGGTATTCTGCACAGTTCCTATCTAAGATAAGTTGTAGGCATCTTTAGACAGCGCAGATATCTGCCTGAAGGATGCTGGTGTAGGTGCCCATTGATTGCTATCCTCTATTATAGCTGTATTATTTTTTCTTGCATTTGTATATACCTAAATATTAGTAGGTATGGTTTTCATTTTCAGTTCTGCTATAGATAGTATAAATACTACCTACCAATTATTTTTTAAAAGTTGCTCTACTCTGAGTACTTTACTCTGAGTACCCTAATATAAAAATTCTCTTAAAAGTATTTACATACTATAAAACCGCATTCGACTCTCTCAACAGCCTGACAACATTCACTCGTGATCGCAGCACGTGTTCCCAACGTTACGTGACCGTTTTTGTCCCCGGTAATCGGTCTTGTAGTAGTACCTTTGGTAATACTTAGCCATCAGCGTCGGCGTGCCGGCGTCTTCTTCTTCTTCGCGAAGAGCCTCGGGTCATGACTACCGCCGAGAAGAATGTCCGTCAAGTAGCGCGAGGTCTCGGCCACGCTAATCTATCGATCTGCCTATTTGTTTACCGTCTTCTGTGCGGTGTAGTAGTAGACTTATAGTGGGGTATGGGAGCTGTGTTATAACGATATCGCGAGATTATTATTATTATATAGGTTGTTCGTATGAACAACTTCTTAGTAACTAGCTTTAGGATGACGACATCCGTAACCTGGAATGGGAATCTCTCAAGTCTAAGGCTAAATGATCGGTGATTTAAGTATGAACAATCTTCGGATCGTCACAGGGTCTTTAACAGAACTTTGTCTTCTCAACGAACGCCTCAGTAGATCGAAGCTAAGAAACAACGGCGAATGCAGATTATGTGGGCAAAATGGGAAATGTAGAATGTTTAGGAGGGGAGTTAATTAACCTTGTGTTCCCCTTTCTTGAGTTATAACTGGTTATAACTTATCATGCAGTCTCAGGGCTTTGACAAAAGCCAGTATCTGAGACGGCTCTCCATCCTCGACATCCTCGACATCAGCCGTACCAAAATAAATGGCACAAACGGTCGTCGTCTCGGCGCACTCAGTGATAACCTGTTCTGGTGTTTCCCCATTTTCCCCACAGAATCTGCATTCGCCGTTGTTCCTCAGCTTTAAGCTTTAGCCTACTGAGGTGTTCGTTGAGGAGACAGTGTTAGAAATCCCTTGACAATCCGAAGATTGTTTTTACTTAAATCATGGAAAATATTTGATTTTTCTAGGTCGTAAATACTGAGGAACTTTTTCGAGTGTCTTAGACCATCGGAGGACTCCCAGTCCAGGTCACGGATGGAGTCTTCCAGGTTCTTCAGTCCCGCTTTTAGTTGGTTTACGCTTGGAAAACAGAACAGTTCTGGTGAAATTAGTGGAGTGCAAATGGAGCGCCTTTTCTAGCTAGATCATTTGCTTTTTCATTGCCTTCTATCCCTTGATGAGCGGGTACCCAGAGTAGGAGGACTTTATTTTCTTTGCCTAATTTGTTCAACTTCTCTAGGCATTCTTTGACCAACTTCGAATTGATAGTTACTGAGTTTAGTGCTGCTTGACTAACGGATAAGATGGCTATTTCCTGTTTTCGATAGTTCCTATCTAAAGCCGGGTCTTCACCAAAGTAACATATGTCGACGACATTGTCATCAACTTTTGTTACTATTTTCATAAATATTGTAGAGAAATGTAGATCGTACCTACCAAAAAAATATTGTTGCTCGACTTCATTTTACGACTAAAGAGCGAAGGTTTATTTAGTGTTTATCAACATGTGGAACGACGAGGATGTAATTATAATCTAAGCTTCATTCCTTATTATTTCTGTTCTTATACCAAGTATGCTTAATGTCCAAAAGTTCGGGGTGGGTTAGGTTAGGTTTTTTAGGTTAGTTGATAGTTTTCAATCAGATTTCTTGGTTTATCATTGCTCCACTCCATACCAAATTTATTTTTAGCAATAGAATCAAAAACAAACTTCTAGCCTTGTGAACTACACGAGTACAAAGGGCAAAATATACCCGATAAAGTTACTGATAGGAGTTGATTCGGTGGAGACGCCTTTCGACATGTTTGTAAACATTGTCGTCGACACGATTTTTCTATGATGTACCGCTCATCAAGCGAAACATGAAACAAAGTCGGCGACTTAAATCTGCCACATAAAATGTCGACGACTTTACGGCTTAAGATAAATTGTACGTATCTTTCGATAGCGTAGTAAGCGTAGATTTCTGCCTGAAGGATGCTGGGGTATAAGTGCTTATTGATTCGGAGTATTTAGTTTTCGGCCTAAATAGTCCTGTCCCTGCTTTGGTTTTAGAAAATGGGGAAACACCAGAACACCTCATCATATTGAGTATGCCGAGACGCAACCGTTCGTGCTTGACGGATAAACTTTGATATGACTGATATCGAAGATGGAGAAGTAACCTCTGTTGCTTTTGTCCAAGCCCTGAGACTGTAT